CTCAACACTCAACTCACAAAACACTTCCCTTCTGGTTACCCAGTGTGTGAGGACTTCCCCACGCCAAGCAATTCTGACCCATGAGCTGGGTATCTTACAACTGACTTCAGTTCTGATATTATCTACCTGGAATTAGCATTGGACCCCACAGGTTAAGGGCTCAGTCCCCCTGCCCTCCTTTCAGCTGCTAATCTCAAGTCCTGTTTGTTATATGTGATTCTGTCTCACCAGCCATAAATCAGAGATTCCCACCACTTCCTCTTTGGGTCCAATTAATTTGCTACAGTAGCTCCAGAATGCAGGGAACATTTTTCTTACTAGATTACCAGCTTCTTATAAAAGAATACAACTCAGGAACAGTGAGATGGGTGAGATGTGTAGGGCAAGTATAGCAGAAGAGGCAAAGAGCTTACACCCTCTCTCCAGGCATGTCACCTACCAGCACCTGAATGTCTTCACCAACCCAGAAGCTTTCCGAATCCCATCTTTTGGGCTTTTAAGGAGGCCTCATTATGTAGGCAAGATTGATTACATCATTGGCCCCTGGTGATTGAACTCTATCTCCAGCCCCTCTCCCTACTCCTGGAGTTGTGGGTGGGAAATAGGGGACCTGAAAGTTTCAACCTTCTAATCACAGGCTTTGGTTCCCCTGGGAATCCAGACCCCATCCTTAGGGGTTTTCCAAAAGCCAATTCATTAACCTAAATGCAGGCCTGGATGAAGGGGTTATTATGAATAACAAAATACACCTTTACTACTCTTATCACTTAGGAAATTCCAGGCGTTGTGGGAGCACTGTGCCCTGAACTGGGACCAAAACCAAATGTATTTTTTCTTATTATAAATCACAATATCACAGAGGTAAAATCATCTGTGGAGAATGAGGGCATGAAGGATGAGATTAGGTTTGCTGAAGAGTAGAGATGATAAGGAAGATCTAGTGCAGAATGCCCCTAAGAAGCCCTTTGACAGATGACTGAGAAGCAAGGACCAAGTTTACTAGGGATGGCATAAGTTAGAGTAAATATTCCAGCAAGGCCCCTGTCTCCAAGGCTAAGCATTTATTTTGGTAGCCACATGACATTAATCACAGGATGACAGAAAGACTATGAGGATAGAAGTTGGAAATGGAATTGGAGTTGGGAGACATAAGCAAAAGTTTGATCTCTTGATGAAATTTTGGAAAAGCCTCTGGGATCTCACTTTCTCCAGCTGTAAAATGGAAGTGGGGTGAACCTCAAGATGGAAAGCCTCTAAAGTATATATCAGTGCTCCCTATTTTAGTCTGAGATCATTACATGTTGTAGAAAAGTGAAGAAGTGGGCAGATGCTGATGGAGGTTGAGAATATACTGAGACAGATATTCCACTAGTGGAATAATTACTTCCAGAACTAAAAAGTAAATACACTTGTTCAGGGAAGAAAACAAGAAGTCACAATTTACACCAAGTTATAACTTTACAGATTTTTGTTTTGCAATCTGCAATTCTTTCTGAACATGTTTGACTGATAAATTCACAGATAGATACAATCTTTATGTAGAGACCACACTTTTGATCTCACTGGCATACTTTGTGAAAATATTGAACAAACATCCGAATTTACAACATAATCCTCTACAATTTAGAAGATGCCTTATCACATGGTCATCGCACGGCTTTCACAATGTAATCAAGAGAAAAATCAACAAACTCAATCTCACAAACTAAATTAAATGGGACATTCATGTTTCCCCTTTATATCCTTGTCAAAGATAGAGAGACTAGGAGGAATTTAAAAACCATGGATCCTATCCACCATGGCCATATCTTTCTAGTGGTAGGGAGCTCATTTTTCAGGGTTACTAGTCCATTAACCTTCACAAGAACAAAAATAAAGCAAAACAAAGAAATACTCCCTGGAGAAATGGCATTGCTCCTAATCTTGCTTATATATCTCACTGTGGGGATTTGAAGATGGAACAAATACCTCTACCACCCCAGGCACACAAAATGATACAGGCACCCTGAAATAAATATATAAAATGCCTAGTGGTGCACAGTGTAGACAAATTAATTTAAAAAAATGATAGTGGGGTTAGAGAGAATAACTGATATCATCCCTGGTGAATCTGTCTTACCCTGTGATTTGTAACTTGCAGGGCCAAAGCATCAACCCCATTTATTTTTTAATGTCTTGGCCTGCTCTTGGTTGCCCTTACCTAGATTCATTCACTGTATATATCTGGAACTATTAGTTTCCTGATAAATGCATTGTCAGAAAGTCAGAGGCCAATGATAAGATAGGAAATAAGGAGCTCTTGCTTGTTTTTATACGTTTCTGTTTGACTTAGGAGATAATTATAACACAGATTGATGCTCCTATTTTAAACAAGGTAGTAAATCAGCATGAAATATAGGATTTGGGAAAGCCATTTGCCACATAATTATAATTTCTTAAAATCCCTGTGTTCACTGAATATGAGAAGCTGTAATCATGCAATATATAGCAACAGCATTACTCATCTTTTTCTCTCATGGAAGATAGTTAAGTAAACCTAAGTTACAAATTTTTAAGTACTATTAGTTACAAAGTTTAAATACCATTAACTGAAGCAAAGCAAAAACATAAGTTGTTTGGTCTGGGATCTACTGCCAGTGGGGAAAAATACAGATTCAGTAAGCAAGATTAAAATAATGACTCAGGACTCTTCATTTAAAAGTCATGTCTTTTCCACAAATAAAGTTTATTTATCACCATAAGAGAAGGTAAAAGTGTAAGAGTTCCATCAGTATAGAAGACCAGAAGCAAAGTAGGAACAAAAGAAGGATGTGGAATCAGAAAGGGAGACATCTGCACATGGACTCTGCCAGGGGTGATATTCAAAATACCTATCAATGACATAGCAGAGACAAGGACCCCTCAAGAAGGAGGAGTTCCAGTGCAGGGCTGTGAAGAACACCCCTTATGCCAGTTTTTCTCCTTTGGTTGTCAAATTATGGGAGAAGACAACTAGAGGTGAGACACTGGGCTTAGCAGGCTATACTCAGGATACCTGAGAAGTGAACCAATACAGAGGTATTTGTGTAACTCACCTGCAGGAGTAGTAAGAACTACTTGGAGCTAGTATAGAAGTAGTACAAAATTTTAACAGCCAGCAGAGTCATACTGATGCCTATTTACTGAATATTAGCCATGGGTGAAATATCTTTAACTGTGCAACTTTGGTGGTTTAACTAATCTTCCTGAGCCAGCCAAGTGAAACAAAAGTGGTGTATTTTAGCTAGTTTTTTGGCTGATGCTCTAAAACCTTTCCCAGCCAAAGAGAGAATTTATTGGGCTCTCTTTTCCTTCCGTTATGCCATCCAGTATACCTTCTGTCATCCTCAGAGCAAAGGGCGAGTCCTACGAGACAGCAGAGGGACTTCCAAATTTAAGCCACATGCAGGTAAGAGGCAAAGTTGACTCTCCATCTTGAGTTCCCGCTCCGGGGTGAGCCCACCTGGGAGCAGACACTAGAACCTGTACTTCTAGTTGAAACATTCTCGGGGCACATTCCATCTCTTCCTTTTCTCCCCTTTATGGCTCCATTATTTATTTATGTGTAAATGATGCAATGATATTTCTGTCTTGAGCTGCTTGGAATGCAGTATCCCAAATCATGGTATCTCAGAGCAACAATTATATACGATGAATATCAGCTTAACTTTGCACAGGCTTTGTTGACTACAAAAGAAAACTGTTTATTTCTCATGCATCACAGTTATCAATAATGGAAACACTGTGATTGCCTTATCTCAAAGGGGTATCACTGGTGTGTCACAGGGGTATATTTTGTCAAGTATAACCCTTCCATATGTTTGAGAGAATCACAAATAAAATCCCATAAATAATTTTGGACTCTACTGTTTAAAAAACAAAATAAAACAAAAACACAAAAGTTATAGCCAAAAAATCGTAAGAATTATCAGAGAATGAGAAAACACAGAGAAGATTTAAGGGGTGATTGAAAGAACAAAATTTACTAATAGTAAAGAGAACAGAAATGTGGATGTAAAGATAAAGAAAGGTGAGCAGTTTGCTTTTCGTTTAATTTTTCCATTCCATGTTAAAGGGCCTTGGCTTACTACCTGCAAATGTAGTATTTTGTTTCAATTGGAAAAAGATTCTCAGTGGAAAAATATAAAAGTAATTTATATTTGTAAAATTTTTAGATCAGTCATTTCAACTGTTCTCCACCAAGACCTCTTTTCATTATACTACTCCACAAGTTCCATATTTTGAATTTTTAAGTACAAATTACATCTATCAAATAAAATGGATTTATTTTCTTATTTTTAATTAATCTCAGCGAATAATACTCAGAGCTGTTGAGGAACATAAAATAACTGAATGATGATATCAAAAATATGATATAATTATAACTAAGGTAAAGATATTTCTAGTTTTAAGTATCCTGAATAACCTTTTGCAAGCTAAGTTTCAATGCCTGTTAAGTTCTTTGAAATATCAGAATGTGTCAAGGAGCCCCACGAGTACCATTTCCGGTGTCATAATTATTTAAAGATTCCAAATTGAAAAGCAATGAATTAAACTAGCTTAAAATTATCTAATAAATAATACTTATCCCAACTTGAAGAATTAAACTGAGTTATTCAATGTAGCATAACTGTCTAAATGTGACAGAAAAGAAAATTCTGGGGCTCTTTTTTTTTTTTATTTAAGATTTTATTTTTTTATTTTGACAGAGAGACAGCGAGAGAGGGAACACAAGCAGGGGAAGTGGGAGAGGGAGAAGCAGGCTTCCCACGGAGCAGAGAGCCTGATGTGGGGCTCGATCCCAGGACCCTGGGACCATGACCTGAGCCGAAGGCAGACGCTTAACAACTGAGCCACCTAGGCGCTCCTCTGGGGCTCTTTCTAAAAAAATTTTTCCCCACTCTTTTTTCCACTCTCTCTCTGTCAAAACCATTACTTGGCTCTGAGACGGCAGGAGTAGGAAGCGTCCAACATGTACTCACCAGCCTGGTTGGTTGTGATGCTGACTGCAGCGACCTGTCTTGGTGGCGAGCTCAGCTCTGACACCCCGTTAATGGCATCAATCTCAAAGGTGTAGTTAGTATGTGCCAGGAGGTCTGTCACTGTCACTGTGGTGTTGAGGAGTCCAAACTGTCGAGGGAGGAAGCGGACATTTGGGCTGCATGGCTCACACTGTTTTATATTCCACCCACATTTTTTACATATGATGTTGAAGGTAACATCTTTCCGGCCTCCTGTGTCCAGGGGCCAACTCCAGTCCAGGATGACCGAGGTCTCGTTTATATTAGAGATAACATTTCTTGGTGCAGATGGAGGTCCTGCAAAGTAGTTCAACAAAGATTAATGAGCCTCACTTCTGTGTTCTACTACAAGGGAAATAGATAATTTACAATGGAACTGAAAGAGGTAAATAACCATCTTGTCTCTATTATATACTTTTAATTCATCCTTAGAGGATCCTTGAGATTATAGACACATGGATTCAAGAGCACTCCTCCCTAAGCCATGAACGGGGGAGTTTTGACTCAAGGTTGAAGATACATTCACATAGTCCAACAAGGGAATTTACTACTAAATTCAATACCCTTGTGAAGAGTTATGAAAACTTTACCATTAGTTTTATAAATCTTAGTCCTTTTTCCCTATGACCTATGACCAACACATAACAAGAGGGAATAGAAATGTAAAAATGCAAATCCCATGACTATAACCTCCCTGATTCTGTCAAATGTAATAAAAGATCTAAACCAAGATAAAGAAAATTTTCCTTCTTCCTGGGGGTCCTGTTGCAGGAAGTGCTTTAAAAACTAATTCATTTTGCGTGATAAATGTTGCATTTGTGGTGAGCCAAGCATGGAGAGTGAAGCAGAGAAAACTTCCAATTTGCACATGGATAACAGAAGGAAATGGGCCAAATGCTTAAAAAAAAAAAAAAGAATAAAGAAGCACAATAACAAGAAGAAAAAACAAAATAAAACAAACATGGAGGCATGGGTTGCAGCAAAACTACTCACGGGTACAAGCCATGGATGGAGGGTCTTTGTCTGCTCGGAAGTAATTATTCTCACACCTGCAGTTCACTGAACCATCTTCGTGAGTAGAACTGTGGGGTGGGCACTTGGCACATTTCATATTACCATCCGAAGCCTTGTAGAAACCTGGTCGGCAAGCTACAAATAAAACAGCTCTTTTAAAATTCTGGATAATTTTGAAAATGTATTTTTGAAAATACGTAAAACAGATTTCAGAATGTTAGGGTATGCATTCATTATGAATAAAAATCCATTTTTTTCCTTCCCAGAACTTACAGAAGCAAATAATGTGGCCCAGTGTAGTTTCTCCACATATACATTTGAATTTGCACCAAATGTTAAGGGGAAAAAACCCCCGAAGATTTAGATTATTTTGGCACCAGAGTGTGATGAAATTTCCAGCTCATGTTTTCACAGCTTAACTTGGCATTGAACTATTTGTGGAGAAAATACAGCAAAGCCATGTCATCATGTAGCCATTCCCTTTTAAAACATGATGCAATGTGTACAGTCTCTGCACTACAGTTACTGCATTACCTACTCGCTCGGCTTTTATTGGTTTCTGTGTGTACAACTCCATCTCCACAAAGTGTAAGCAACTGAAGGAAGAAATCGTGGCTTCGTTATTTTAAGATTCTTGATGCATGGTTCCCAGGAACTATGTTTTTTTTTTGTTTTTTTTTCTGCCTTGACAGTGTTGTTCCTTAACTTCTACAGCAATGGCTTAAACTGAAGATTTTAATGTATTTTCTTGTCTGTATCTCAAAAACATAGTGAGGTATAATTTCTATTTAAACTGATCTACTTGTGAATTGTTACTAGATTAAAGCTTTTTTTTTTTAAAGATTTGTTTATCTTAGGGGCACCTGGGTGGCTCAGTTGGTTAAGTGTCTGACTTTGGTTCAGGTTGTGATCCTGGGGTCCTGGAATAGAGCTAGGAAGGGCTCCCTGATCAGTGGGGAGTCCGCTTTTCCCTCTGCCCCTCCCCCTTTGCCCCTTCTCCTACTCAAGTTCTCTCTCTCTTTATCAAATAAATAAAATCTTAAAAAATGATTTATTTATTTTAGAGAGAGACACCAAGATCATGACCTGAGCTGAAATCGTGTCGGCCACTTAACCGGACTGAGCCACCCAGGTGTGCCTAGGTTAAAGCTTTTTAAGTAAGTGTGTCATCTTCTTTTTTTCTGGACAGCTCTGAATGACATTTCTTTTTTTTTTTTTAAAGATTTTATTTATTTATTTGAGAGAGAGATTGAGAGAGAGAGCATGAGAGGGAGGAGGGTTAGAGGGAGAAGCAGACTCCCCGCCGAGCAGGGAGCCCGATGCGGGACTCGATCCAGGGACTCCAGGATCATGACCTGAGCCGAAGGCAGTCGCTTAACCAACTGAGCCACCCAGGCGCCCCTGAATGACATTTCTTTAAGCCCAATGAACTGGTTATGAAATATTGATTTCAGCTGCCCAGTTAGCAGTCTTTATGTATTTATTACTTTTATAGAAATATGCCTCTACTGTATTATTTTTGTTTAATCTGATGTAAAATTCAAAATGCTGTAATGGTTCATGTGATTCAATACCAGAATTACACTGGGAACTGAAATCACAGTGAAAATCCTGCCAAGAAGTCTCTTGACATTGTTTTGAGGATTCAATTCAGGGTCCAAATTTTTTAAGTTTCTTCCAGATTACCTTTGGAAGTCAATGATTTCTTAAATCTACACTGAGATTTGATGGCTTAAAGCACTTACATATAGAATATACCCTATAGATTATGTTTATCACTGAATCCCAGAATTTTCCCTATATCAACTTCATATTGTGAATAACAGGTTATTTACACGCAAGTAAAGCCTCTGTGGACAAATCTTAACTTTTATAATCATTATAATGCATCTTGAAAGTTAACATATTATATCCATAACAGCAGGTCTTCCTACTGAATGTTTCTTGAGAAATACACTGCCAAGGGAAATCTACTGTAAAGACCCACGATTACAATAACTCAAGTAACTAAAGATAATAGCAATCGTTAAGCTAGTCTTGCTGTTTTCTAGTTTCTATGAAGAATGGCTGCACTAGGATTACCTAAATCGAACAAGTTTTGGTGTCACATTGAGAGCCACTCAGATTGCCTTAACCAAACATGGATTAGGATTATAAACTTTTGAACATTGTTCTTGAGCACTGGTTAGAAACTACCACTCATATTTCATGTCATACTGCCTCAGGGGGAAATGATATAAAGTATAAACAAACTATGCATTTAACTTCTGGTTTCAATTTAGCTCATCGAATGCCTTTAAATTTGCAAGAGGGCAATGCCGAGTCTTTAAAAGATTGAGTTGCAGTGTTTCAGTGTACTTTGTTTTTTTGGTTGCTTTTAAGTTTATCTGTATGTTTTTATTTGAGGTTTTTATGGCTTTTACAACATTTAGCATAAAGGTATTCACTAAAACAATCACTTTTTGTTAATATTATAAATGGTTATACTATGGGATATTTAAGGAAAAGACAAGACAGTCATATAATCACTTCTTAACTACAGCACAGGACTTCTAATAATAACTTGAAAGTAGCTAGAGTTACTAAACCTTGAAGTTAAGAATGTGACTCAAACTAGTAACTTGACTTTCTCTAAATATGATTCAATAACCTTAGATATAGTAATAGTAAAAGATAGGTAGACATATACCCATTCAGTTTAATAAATCCTTGGCAATCATTTATTTACTCTTGTTCAGGCTTTCTGTTAGCCTTGAAGATACAAATGTCCCTAATTCTGTCCATCTTAAAAGGGCCCTTGCGATCGAAAGCGGGCAACAGATATTTAACACAGGCCACAAGGACCAAGCATTCCGTTCTGACTGAGCAGTTGGAAGGAACTACGCAGAAAGAATCTCATTTGAGAAAGATCAGAGAATATAGGGAAAACTGGCCTGTAAGTAACATAGTTAAATACATAAATACCAACAGGGAAAGACAAACTATTAAGTAGAGGAACATCATGAGTACTGTTGGTTGCATACTAAACACCTAACTAAACTTGCTTTCTCCTTGTTGATAGAATTTTGATTTTCTTCAGAATCTCAGTCTGCCGAGTACTCCTTTACACAGACATGATTGCAAATAGTTATGGATGGCCAAAGTGATGGCCAAAAATGGGCAAAAAGATACAAACAGAAATCTGATGAAAGTCTTTGAAATACTTTTTTTTCCCCTAAGAAGATGGTCCAAATGTAAGGAAATCCACTCTACCTACATTATTCCAGCATTGATTCTCCGCATAATGGTTTACATGTGACAATAAGTTAAAGGCCACGAAAATGAGATGTGTAACCTGCACTTGCTGATTTAGCTAGCACCTCTCTCAAGATTTCTTATAATGTCAGAAAAATAACACCCTATTTGTTTAAGTCACCATGGGCAAGTTTCTCATCCCTACAAAGGAAAGTATTTCTAAAGGATGGGAGACAAGCAGAGAATGCAGTTGAGAGATACTAAATAGAGGCTAATGGAGCCAAAAAGATCCTAATAAATCACATTGGCCAGTCTGTGTATTGTACGTCTGAGGACCCAGAGCTCTGGGACTTCAGGTGACACACAGCTAGAACAGCCCCTACTCTGCATCTTCTGGCACCTGGTAGCAAGCTGATGGGCTCTACTTCTCCAGTTTGTTGATATTCAGCAAATTACAACTATATACAGAGTCCAGTAATAGATTCGATAACAATACCCTAAATTTTGTGGACATCTTTACTCTTTCTGAAAAACTTTCATAGGTACCATCTAAATTGAATCTCACAGCAATTGTATTGAAATCATTGGGATAGATATTAATCTACTCATTTTATAGAATGGACAACTGAAGCACAAACAGAAAAAGTATCATGCCCCAAGATAACAAAGAATTCAATGGTATAATCCAAAAAAGAGATTTTTCTGCTGTTAATTTTATATAAATCACCTACTAAAAGCAAATTATTCTCTAGAACCATGAATTATTTTCCTACTAATTCTTTTTTTTTTAAAGATTTTACTTATTTATTTGAGAGAGAGAGAGAGAGCACGAGAGGGGGGAGCAGGAGAGGGAGAAGCAGACTCTCCGCTGAGCAGGGAGCCCGATGTGGGACTCGATCCCGGGACTCCAGGATCATGACCTGAGCTGAAGGCAGTCGCCCAACCAACTGAGCCACCCAGGTGCCCCCTACTAATTCTAAGCTGTTGTTATGACATTGAAGAATAGTCATTCAAAACTTACTTAATTAAACAAATGCAAATCTTTCATCATTTACTCCTAGTAAGAAACTATTTCACAAAGGGTAATGTTTTCTTGCCATTCTCTAGGATTTTCTATCTATTTGATGTCTAATATTGTTATGGGAGATGGGCAGAACTGTCAAATTCAGGAATAGCACAACTCATGATATGTGGGAGTCATGCAAGTAAATTTTTCCTTTCTTGCTACAAGCAGGATCTTTAAATCTTCTACCAAAATTGTCCAACAAATTTGAGAATATGACTAAATAACTTATATTCAGTAATAAAATTATACTGGTAGGAAACACTCTCTTTAAATGCATAAGGAGAAATTCTTTATATAGCATACTTACTTTTGGAATTTTTCCATCAATAAATAATCTCTCTTATCTCTCCCTTGCAGTCAATCATTTTGTGCTTAAATACCTATCTATTTATATCTTCTTCATCTTTCAAAAAAATCCTCCTGGAAGAATTTGAAACTTTACCTCTAAGGGGCATAAATACCTGTGTTTTAGTATCTTGCTTATAGTAAGAAAAGCAATGATTGTAATTTGAAAGCAAAACTAGTGATAAAACAATCAGCATATTTCTGTCATCCAAGTATTATTTCAGAGACTGAGAAGGTTTAGTATAAAAAACATCAGGGAAAGAAGTAGAGAGTAATGTTTTCTTTCCTTTCATTACTCAAGGGAAATCTTAGTCAACTTACTACAGAATATCAAGGAAAAAAGAATAGACAAAATGGATACTAATTCAGATTTATCCAGTTTTAAGTTTTAAAATTAAAAAAAAAAATCTGCTAAATAGTTAAGGCCTTCCCTTGTCCAGGAGAGCTACTAAAGCAATATTCAACTAAGGTGGATACACACATATTCAAA